CATTTTATTATGCTCCAATTAAATTTTTTTTTTTTATGATTTCATTCTCTTCAGAAATTGGCTCTTCAGGAGCAACCTCTTCAAGAGTTTGAATTTTGTCATGACATTTATTTAATCTCCGGAGATATTTGAAATCAATTTATACCTTGTTTAGGTAGGCCGGCGTTACATTTATTTGTAGCACTTGTGTATGTCCTTCAGGGACATCAATTTTAACCAGAGTATTTCCTGCAGGAATAGTTGATTTAATGACTCTTCTGGAGTCGATAAATATAACTTTCTACAAGAAGAATTTCTTGAACTTGTAGTTCATATTATTTTGTATGAGAATCGAGGAAATTCAATTTTTCAGGTAATTTCCTTTCGGTTGATTTTTTCCTCCCCCTAATGTCGGAAATCGTAACTCATCAAAATAAATAAATCATTCATACCCAACATAAATTTTAAATTTCTTTTGGAGCCATATATAATATAAAGGGGGTATGTATAAATACTTGTCGGCTTTCAAATATTCTCACTTTTGTCAAATCATATATCCATTGGAATCAGTAAACTTCTGGTTTACTACAGGTGATGATTATAAATCAAATGAGAATGAAGACAACTATATCGATAACCATTTCTCTCTCGAATGGTTATTATGATATAATTAACCTTTATCTCATTTGATTTCTAAACACGATCTCTATTATTGTCTCATTTAGTGTCTCAATTTGATATCCTTTTCGACGAATATTCTAATTCAATAATTTTTCAAGGCATGGTAAAAAGTAGTGCTTTATTTATGATAAATTTTTCTTTTACAGGGAGAAATATAGTAGTGGCTCTTCTGGAGCTTTCAATCATTTAAACACTACAACTGATTGTGTTTGTCTCTCTCATTAGAATATAGTGTATATAGTAGCACTTATTAATGAGACACATATCATTGTCACCATAATTCTTATAGGACAAATATCATCACCATAATCCTTTGATCCCAAATATTTAACATCCATTTCTTCTTCAGGAAGAAAAGTCAATTAGTATCATAAATTAAATTAATCATCATACACCTTCAGGGCGTTTAAAGAAATTTGCCATATGAAAATGCTATTATAATTTTGATTCGTCAAATGTACTTCGGGACATTTATTTTTAGGATCTTTAGTTTCTTGTCCTTATCATTATTATCCCACTTCAAGTGGTAACTTTTTCTTTTGTCATGATAAAATATATATTTACCAAAATCATAGTCATGGCAGCAACCATAACTAAAAATTGAAATTTAGTCACATTCACTTCTGGAAATGGACTAGAACTAGTATGCAATAAGTACAAAATACGGCTCAAATTTTCTCTCAATATTGCTACTACAAGAGCATATTTGAGAAGTATGTAGAGAATATTATTTTCAACTAAAAAATAATTCTAAACATAGCAGAATCGTGTACTTACAACCATAAGTAAATTTATCATACCAAATTTCGAAATAATGACCATCTTCTGGTGGCCAAATCTTTTTGTTAAAGAATGACCATCTTCAGGCGATCGGATCTTTTTTTTTTTAAATATTTCAAAGGACATGTAGATTTTCAAATATAATTGATTTTCTATAATAATATCTCCAAAATTCATTGCATCAGAATATAAGTATCTATAACGAATAATTCTAAAGATAAATAAATAGAATTAAAAGGAGAAATATTACCTCAAAGATGTCAAACAGTATATATTTGTGTTTAATGGTTGCTCAGCAATAGACACTTGTATTTTTCGATCATTCAAATATTAGCCATAAGAAATTGAAATAAGTTTGTGGGTTAGAAGTTTACCTCAAGATTTTCTTGAAGAAATACGGGCAAAATTTTAGCAAAATCTTGTGTTTCACTTTTGTTCACGGTAGAGGCTCCGTTTTCACCTTTTGCTCAAAAATAGAGACTCATGCTGATAACGTGTTATAAAACTAATAAAATACTATAATATGAATAGAAATATTAGAGAAAGGAATAGAGAAAGGGAGAATGATATTCTTATATTTCAACAAGATACAAAAGTATTCTCAAAGGGTTTCAATGTACCTCTATATATAGGCACTACAAGATTAAAGGTACATAAATTCTATTAAACATCCACTACTACAATAATATGAAGAAACTTATGAAACGGTTTCTCCACTATATGAATAGATTTATGAATTGTAACTTCTATACATAATGTAATCATAAATCATGAATTAATTCTCTTGAGAATACAAAGAGACATCCATATTTTTAATTGTTTCATAACAGTGTATATATATATTTTTTTTATATGCACGAGTAGTAAGGTAGAACTCTTCATGGTGAATGTGTACGGGGGAATTAATCTTGATGCAGACTTCGTAGTCATCAAGACATGTTATGGATATGGATGATAGATACATGTGCTTATTTCAGTAGTAGGGTTTAAGGGTACAATCCAATGAAGATGAGGGATGCGGTTGGCTTGCCACTATAAACCAAGGACCACAGCAGACCCTGGCCCATAATTTTTGTTGACAATTCCACTTTCTTGGAGGACATTTTGTAATGTTTCTGGTACAATTTTATCAGCATACCACTTGGAATTGTTTTTAGATCATTGAGGGCATGCATGCTATACACTGAGCATTGGATATTTTTGTTCAAATTTAGTAGTATATCAGTTAGCTCCACGGAAGGCGCCTGGTGTTTCATGTTTCTGGGCCAGGCGACTTCAGATGGGATGATTGGCAGCCAATGGTTGAGGAGAAAATCTGAAATTAAGACCAAGATTTGCGAAGAAATTTCGTACTCTTTTCTTTGGGACATACGAGATTTAATGGTCTACCTCTATACTACTACTATATCTTATGGGACCACTGCGATATAGCTTCTTTTTTTTTTCTTTATTTTCAACGGAATAGTTTTCTATTCATTTTAAATCTATTCCTACTCTATATTGAGAGATAGAGAGAGGGTAGGCTCAAATGGACTAAAAGAAAATTTTGAAGAGGACTAAACTACCATCAGATCATCATTAGACGGATGACTCTGCACCCGCTGGCGAGACTTTCGAAAAATCTTGAAATAGAATGCAAGTAAGGGTTTCGATTCCTTGACCTACTACACCTAAAGAGAGCCTCCTTAGCGGCCGGCAATTCTAAAAGTAGCCGAATGAAGTATAGTTCGTGAGGATAACGTATTCTACATTTTTCTTGGGGATGAAGTTGATGAGGAACCAGCTGCTTGCGACTAATACATGACTGCATTTTACTTGCTGATGTGAGTCAAATGACCGGAAAGTATTCAAATGTTGACGGCCAGCCGTATTGCAATTATGTAACGGACCTATGAATATAGTGCACACTTTATTTGTTTTTGCAAGGTATTGTTTGCAAGCATTTTAATTTTTCCCGAAGACTGGCTGGCATTTCATGCATGTTTGCTACTCTGATAAGTACTGCTAAAAAAAGGGGTAATTTGCTCCTGTATTTAAAGTGAGAGGTCAAAGACAAATTTTTCCAAAATTAATTTAGTTTTCATTAAGAATGGATCGCCGGTTGACCATAGCTTGGGAAGAACGTTAAAATTTTAAGGGGAAAAAAAAAAAATTCCTTTCTACTGTTTCCCGAGATAAGAAACTTGTGACAAATCCAAACCTCGTAGGGTCTTGGGGTCCTACCGAGAAATTTTCAACGCTGGACACCCTGGCTGATTTTAGTTTAGTTTGTTATTATTTTTTTAATAGGAAAGAGTTGGAATTTAAGGAACAAGAAACAGAGAGGAGAATTGAACTTAAAATCTTGCCTTGTTTGGATTGCGATTTTTCGCCGAAAAATTATGTTGTTTTCCGTGATCACTTTCGAGTTGAATCGCTACAGACTCACATTGATACATGGCGCCGAAAAATTATGTTATTTTCTGTGATCACTTTCGAGTTGAATCGCTACAGACTCACATTGATACGACTGCATTTTACTAGTTCGAGTTGCAGTTACCCGTACAAGGCTTCCTTCTCTCGGTTTTCTTTAACAAGAGATTTGACCCATACCAGGCCTTTTTTTTCCTTCTTTTGAGCAGAAGGATAAGATTAAGTTGGACAGATATCACATATATAGTCCAGAATCAAAATAGAATCAAGATTTGGTGTCGTCGGAATAAGACAGTCACAGGTGAAGTTGGGTCAAATCAATTCTGCCTCCTAGCTTAACTTCAACCCTTCCGCATAATTATACAAGGAATGACTTTTGGAGCATCATTGAATTGTGGGATTAACGATAGGGATCTACACAAAGGAATAATTTCAGATTACATGGACGTAAATGTAGTTGCTTCCAAGGATATAACTCTTTCAACCTTTTTTTTCCCCCCTTTTAACGCTCAAGCCTTAGATGGGTCTAGAGAAAAAGGAACCCGTTTGAAAATGAAACGCTCGCGATCATTTGATTAATATTTTAATCAACCGAGTTAGATTCTGAAGACATTTACATGTACCATTATTTCATGCTTAAGAAGTCGTATTAGGAGCCTCTCTCCGAAAGTTTGTTTGGATAGAGTATTATTTAAAATGTTTACTGTAGCACTTTTTGTGATGTGAAATATATGAGATAAAAAATTGATTGAAAATATAAAAAAATGAGTTAAAAAATGTGTTTATTAGACAAGCGAAATATTATTTAAAATAATTTCACTGACCAAACACTCCCATTAATAGTTGGAAATGTTTTGTCAGGTTAATTTTATTTTAGACAATTGTTGAATATTGTAGGAGTAGTTTCTACGTCCAAAATATGGAAAGTTGGAAAGTAAGCCAGTGTTCATTTATTCACTATGCAAATGCAAAGCAAAAAGAGAGGTAGAAAAACAAAATGGCTAATATCCTATCTAAAAACAAAAAGAGCAGAAAATTAGATGCTACTATTTGGACATAAGGTAATACTAGTTTTTTTTTTTTTAGTACTATTTATTAGATGCTATTATTTGGAGATACGGTGGAGGGTCGGATCGGAGCGTGACTGTCAAATCTACATATTCTCTCTCTTTCTCTCAGTTTCTCTCACAAATTCAGGCAGAGGGGTCTATGTCTGTTTTCTCTCTACTACTGCTCCTCCTGCTCCTCCCCCTCCCTCTCCCTCTCTATTTGTCTTTCTCTCTCCTCTGGAGATTCGATTTAATCGCCGATCTTTTCTATTGTTTCAATCTCTGTCCCCACTCCCTCTCTTCTCTCTTACCCGCAATAATGTTCCCAGATTTTCACGGTAAGTGTACAAATACTCTCTTACTCCCACACAAGCCTTTTTAGCTATATACACGTAAAAAAGAATCAAATTTCGTGTCTCTGTACGGACGCATATGGTATATCTCCGCAAACCAAAGGTGTGAACTTTGTTTCTGTTAAAAAAATTTTTTTCTGGGCTCAAATAAGTTCTGGGATTGTTGAGTTCTTGGAGTTTTCTTAAGTTGTTTTGATGGTAAGCGCTTAAAGTTTTGATTTTTATTATCCACAGCTTCTCCATGCAGCAAAATTTTCAGTTATTTATGTGTTTGTTTCAAGTCTTGCAAATGTATCATTGGAGAATTTTCTATATTTGTTGGCTTGATAATTCATTCCTTGAATTTGAGATCCTTTGGCCTTGTTTGGTCTTATTAGAGGAGTTTCATGGGTTCATTCAGATTTTCCTTAACTGTGCTAAAATCATTTCCATACTCTTCTGTAACTACAAGGAGTTGTTGATATGGTTCCTATTATTTGAATTCCCAATTTCGTCATTCTTTTCTGCTTTTCCAGAATTCCATGCAAAACCCGTTTTCATAGTCTCCTCATAGTTTCTTTTACTAGTGCGTTTTTATTTTTCACTTTTTCATTTAGTCAATTGAAGAAGAAAAAATAAAAAGAACACAGCTTTTGTTGAATGTTAGGTTTGTTAATATGCTTTGTTCGGTCATTGGTGATTGTGATTACTGTACACTGCATCATTAACTGTGTTTATCTTCTTTTTTTTTTAATTAGTTTGATTTTTTTGGGTTTTTAAGATTCTTCTTTTGAAGCACTCTAACTTAGGTTTGGGTGGGTATTTGGAATACACATTGAAAAGTTCCCTTTTATGGAAATGGGATCTGCTTTTAACATATCATCATGTCAAAAACAATAATAAACAGTAATAATGATGATGATAATGATAAAAAAAATAATAGTAAACGATTTTTGTAAATTTGCGCGTACTACACTGTTTGTTACATGATCCCTTTTCCTGTGAAAAGAAGAACCCTGGAGGAGACTAGGGAGAGAGGTCATGATTTCGAGTTCAGACCTCAGAGCTTGTCTCTTCCTGCACAAATTGTCTTAAACAAATAAATACCTTATCATGTTTTGTCTGGGCATTTTTTTTCTTTTATTTATATAAGCAAAGTACAGATGAGAGGATATGATGATGCTTGCTCCTTAAAAGTTAGTTATAAAATTCTGCAAAATTGTCTCATCCTCTAGTGTTTGTAATCTCATTATCATTATTCTGCTGTTTTATGTTCTTCAATTTGCAATTTGTGCTGCAGCACTGGCTTTATTTTGATTGAATCCCGTTGACCCAGAGATGGAGGGGGATGCATTTTCTGGCCTTGGTAACGGGACCCAAATAGATGGCAAGGTATTGCAGACATTTCAGAAGAGCTTTGTTCAAGTACAGAACATTTTGGATCAGAATAGGTTGTTAATCAATGAGATTAACCAGAATCACGAGTCCAAGATCCCTGACAACTTGAGCAGGAATGTGGGACTAATCAGAGAGCTCAACAACAATATCAGAAGGGTTGTTGATCTTTATGCGGATCTTTCGACTTCTTTCACAAAATCCATGGACGCTTCATCTGAAGGGGACTCAAGTGGTGCCTTTAAATCAGATGGAAAAGCTGGTCACAAAAGGAACAGGCCTGGTTAGATATAGTTCAAAGGTTTAGTGCCTCATTCTTTCTAGTGGACGGAGTACACAAGAAGAGGATGCACAATTGTGTTGAGGTAGTCAGGGGGAACGTGTTTTAAGGTTGCATTACTCGTGAACTCTCTTTAGTGGCCCGTAAAAAATAATGGCTCAAAAAATCTCTTAGATTGTATCTATGTACCTGCAGATCTAATTGAACAAGTACTCATGTCTGTATCATCTAATCTTGTGGCTTTTTACTGGTGTTCTTCTAGAATACATGTTTCATAGTAATAAAGTTTTGATCTTTGTTGATAATTGAGATGAATAATATAGCTTATCTCTTTCTTTGGAGTAGGCAGGCAAAATTAATATATATTTTTATGAAAGGTGACTGCATTAGCTGTTCAACTTTTTCAGTTTGTCAAAAAGCTATAATATCTGATGTGGGAATTGGGAGATTGTTCCCATCTTTCAAATGTAATGGAGTTTCCATCTACTTTTTGGTGGAAACTCCCTTTATTCCCTTTTCCAATCTCTGTCCAAAGGCATTTTTCTTTTAGAACTTACATAGAGAGACTGAAGTTGAAGTGGTGACAGATACTGTTTTCAACCTCTCCTATGAAATGCAAACTCCTTTTCTGCTTTGATTTTGCTGGGAAATTACTGTGCATGATCCGTATGTGAAGAACTGGTCCACATTTATGCATCCCTGCAAAGATGCTCTGAAACAATTGGAGGAAAGCAGCTTTTTGAGATAATCTTTTTAGTTCCCAATCACACAGCACCACAAGAACAGAATCTCAGAAAGAGATGATGGTCGTTTGACCCCAATTTATAATTTTTTGGTTCTCCTCATTTGTTTACCAATTTGTTTGTTGTATCCAATGAGATTATATTGATAGGGAAATAAATTGATAAACAATTCAATGGTGGAAACAATCAATAAAAAAAAAGCTTGCTTAGTTCAAAACAAGGCACCACACTTCCAAGAGACGGACAGATTTATGTGAACAGTGACCCCCAACAACATGACCGGGGGCCCTAAAGGTTCTCCTTTTGGAATGGGAAGAACTAAGTATTTCAGCATACTTATCCCCTTCCCGTCTCTACTACTATTATTACTACTATGTTCTTTCTCTTTGCATCTGATTAGTTTATAGTACATAGATTTTCTTGTATCCTCTTATCTTTAGACAAAGAATCCGTTTTTCCTCTTTTCAGAAGGCAAATATTTCTCAAAATATAGCGTGTGAATCAAACTCATGTTTGAATTGAAATTGTAACCCTGATGCAAGTTCTTCCCTTATGAATCACATACATAGATTCATATCTGAAAGAAGTTGACGATAAGTTCTTTCAAAATTGACTAAAGTTCTTTATTGCTCATTGTATTCATTTCTTGCGACTGTTTCAAGTCTCTGTTGGAATTAAATGGCCTTTTTATGAGTGGCTTCCACTGCCTCTCATTTCTCTCTTTCACACAGACACATGCACACACTAACAAAAGATACGGAAATACACACACCCCAAATTCAACCACTGGGCAGATGGCTCAGTAGCCATCAGGAAAAAACTACTTCATCAGCAGCGAAAAAAGATCTAAGGGTTGTGTCATAATACTCTTTTGATTTAGTGGCTCTTTATACCCATTAGCCCCTATCACAGCCTCCTTAGGCTCCCCTCCCCCTAGATTAGGATATAGTAGGTTATACAAATGTATCGTTGCTGAAAAAAAAAAAACACACCCCCAAATTCATTGATTGAGTAGGTGGCCCCGGTAAATGGGATACTAATTTACTCATCTTAGATCTTAGGAATGAGAGGTCCACAACACAAGGGTTTACTGCTGCTGCGAGAGAATGGTTTCTTTATGTTGTATTGAGATTTTATTGTCACTTATCTAATGCATACTTGATGAGGTTGGGGTTTTTCTTCCTTGATATAGTGATTTCTCTCCAACCTTGTGAGGTCGATGCTCTGACCTTTTTGAGATGGGAATTATTGAAAAAGAATATGATCATCATGCTATCATTGATTCCCAGGTACCTCATGTCATCCACCACCTGTACTATTGAAAATGGGACACTTTCTCCTATGTTGAATTTCCTGTATTGGTCGTGAGATTTACCGTACTTGTTGGAGGTGCAAACAAGTCGAATCGATTTCAAGAAGTATCATGTTCGAGCTCGACTTAATATAGTAGTGTTGGGGATTGAAGTTGACTCGATCAGTATTAATTTTAATGATTGAATTTGATTCATTAAACTTTATGAAGTATTCTAAATCGACTCGTTTAAGATCGAGTAAGTTTGAGCCTATCTATGTAATTTGAACTATGTACTAATATATATATATATATATATATATATATATATATATATATATATATATATATATATATATCATTCAATAAGGTTTGTCGAACTCTCGAATTTAACATATCAACATATTCAACGTTTGATACTCGATTCGCTTGACTAATCGAGCAGCTCGAGATCAACTCGAACTCAATCAATGCTGAGTAGAGTCGATCGTTTGAACGAGTTGCTCTAGTGTTATTTGTGAGTTGTTCGATTCGTTTAAAATCTTATTATCAAAGGATTTTCCATTACAACGAAAGGTGGGACTTGCGAATTATGATTTTTGAGGAATAATTTGGGTTCACATCACTTAGGACTTTGGAGCCTCGACATCCAGGAAACATGAAATAGAAAGCGTAGTTGAGATTTTTTTTTTTCCTGCTAGAATATGATCAAAATAAAATTTAATTAACTATAAGGTAATTATAGAGTTACTTTTAAAACCAATAAGCTTCTTGTTTGGCATGTTGCTAATAGTAGAAAATTGGGCATGTACTTTTTGCTATTCAATCATTTGTTGGAGTAAATATATTTCATCCGTCATCTAGATTAAACATCTTTGAGTTGCCTCATGCCGGATTCGTCGAGACGGTTTACATGTAATTATATATTAAGCTTTTAACAACCTATTAATTAGTTATTGGGTTGTACACTAAAACCTATACTTTAACAAAAAGATGTCAAACATAAGATTTCTTGTAACGTCATTTTCTGAAATCAAAACCTAGGTTTAGCAATTACGACACCAATAATTTGCACTAACCCTTCTAGATCTCAGACACTTTTCCTCAGTCAAGCCCCATTAGGAATCTCCCCATGAGATTATCAAAATAGCCGCCTACCTTTCAGGAAAATGTGGATGAAAACCACCGGATCAAGATGCAGGATTGTCATACTCATAATCGAATATTTTACAACATACTTAAGCTTAAGGTAATCATGAAGGGGGCAGAAGATCAGATCAGTTGGTCCCCAAGTCCAAGCCAAGACAAACTAAACATGCTACTACTATAAAAACATAACATGTGAAGTGGGAATCTACTTTTGCCTTTCTTTCCTTGCGGTTCCAGCAAATAGCCATGGAAAGAAACCATACTCTATTTTTGCCATACACCTAATACGGTAGTGCATCTTATAGCCACCTGCATCATTAGTCGGATCCAGTTACGTTTGTCTCGCTATAATAATCCACGCTCGTGCTTGCATTACCTTATTAAATAAATTACCACATCACTTCTTTGCAATGATGATAGATGCTGCAGCGTTAAAGCTAACCAAATCAGGATGGTTTTTCTTTTTCTTTTTTTTTTTTTTTAAAAAAGAGCTCTTTTACGTGGTGTGGTTCTAAGAAGTTTCCTTTGAATAGCTTGCAAATTTCTATGGGCAAATAAATTTGTTGGGAAAACTGTAACGCGTTGCTTGGATTGCATTTTTCTGAATTTTGTTGCAGAAAAATTGTCGTAGTAATTTGATATATGTGAGATAAAAAAGTGATTAAAAAATGAGTTTACATAGCAATCCAAACAGTGAGATCCAAGTCTGAAAACGAAAGCAAAAGAAAAAAAAAAAAAAAAGAGGCTGGATTGAAACTTTTTATCCTTTGGACTCCAAAATGGTTAGCGTATGTCAGTTGCAAAAGAAGTAAAAAGGACACATGGATTCCAGTTCTTCTTCCCAGGTCCACCAAACAAACATGGCCTAAATGCGTTCTTTGAAAATGACAAGCGAGGTCGAGGTGGGATGATAAATGTTAAAATCCCATGACCGAGGAATCCCATGAACCGCTAATACTAGTATTGCTTTTCATTGCTTTTGAGGCCCTTATCTGTCTTTTCCTGACACCTCGCAATATGTACGGATATCCTGACTAATTTCTCCTCTACCATGCCCTCCAGAAAACACAACTCCCAAAGAAAAAAATGCAAGTATTTCTACATCATTGCCAAACGTTTACGGCTACGTTTGGATAGCAAATTTTTTCAAAAAAATTTTTTCGCTTATATCACAACTATATTTTTTAATCCATCATTTTATATTTCTAACCGTTTTTTTATTTCACATACATCACATCACAAAAAATATTACAGTAATGATTTCAAATAATACTCTATCCAAATAAAGCTGCACAGATTTTTTAGCTACTACAAAATGGAATATTTATTGGACATAATTATTAGAAATGCTGACTTCGATCACAGGATTGAACATCTTCAATTGTTTTCCTTCACTTTCAAGCATGCACTGCTGCACCCAAAAACCTTTTTTTTTTTAAAAAAAATTTCTATAATACAAGCAGTTGATGGTAGGATTGCGATCTTTTTTCTTTCCAGGTGAAAAAAGAAAAATCTTTGTAAAATTGCAAATGCAGATGCCCCCCTTTCTGTCTCTCTACAGGTTGCAATTTTGATCACTGATTTCCTTGTCAAGCATTAGTTAGATTTATAGATGCAGGCAACACTGCAGCAAAACGGCAACCTGGAACCTAGTCAAGCGTAGAATGATTCAGCTTTTGATCATTGTGGGTCAAAAGTACGATCAACAGTGCGATGATTTTTGTCATGGTATAGCATAGCATAGCATAGCATGAATGATTGTGTTACCAGGACCAAAGTGGTGACATCACTTCTAAGCAACTTCGCAGCAGCATTATCAGAATCCTTTCCCCGTCCTATCATTTCAAGAAAGCTTAGAAAGTGCTCGGGCTCTTTGCATGTACTAATTAGCAGTTGCTTCAGGTATCACTTAAATGGCCGGTGATTAGTAATATCCCAATCCTTTTAATCATCCTCCAACAATGCGTACTTGCTTAATGTTCAGTTTAACACTCTCTTGAATTACCTTTTTACTTACCTCAAATCATTTATAATACTATGTCTTTTTATGAACACTTCAAAAAAAAGAAACAAAAAAATAGCAATACGTCTTTTCTTTTTTGCATATTCCTGTAATATCCCAATCTTCTCAATCATTCTCCAATAATGCGCGAGTGCTTCTTCTTTCTTCAATAAAAAAACAAACAGTTGGCGGGAAAACGATTGGCTTTCATGAATTGCTGCCTTTTTCTAAAATCCAAGCTGAGTGTCTCTTTCGTCCAAACAATTGGACAAGAGATTATTTGAAAAAATGCTACTACTGCAATATTTTCTGTGACGTGACGTGCGTGACATAAAAAGGTGGTTGAATATGTGGAATTATAACTAAAGACACATATTCATAAATGTAATCAAACAAATTTTTTTTTTTTGGCAAATATCTATGATTAAATGGCCATTGCAAGCTTGCATATCATGACAAATGACGAGATGAAGGGGTATTTCTTTGCCAAACCAAACGCGACAGAATTCCAATTTTGGAAGTTTTCATTTGACCCCTCACAACCCCCACTTGAGTTACTCCATCCATGGTGGAGGATGGGGACCCAACCTTGGAGGTTTCACTACTTGTATTTTTAAACCCATCTATGAATTTTGGGAATGGCATTGGATGGACTAATACCGCAGGTAAAAGCAGACACAAGAAGTCTATGACCAGCTCTAAATGAAGGAAACTTCGTCCATTTTCTCTTGTAATTCACTTCATGTGACATCCTGATTTGCGTCATCAAGACAAGTTTATCCTGATTAAATATAAAATCCTTAAACAATGAATACAGGAGATCTTGAAGTACGATGTGATCCCAGAGACGGGCAGCCGATGATCGTTCTGGTTTTTCCTGATTAAATATATGCGGTTTTCGGTTGACTAATCTCTCTTAATTACATTACATTATTATTGTTTCGAGACTTGTATACATTTCTCGATATATCTTATCATGTTCCATCATTGGAGTGGTTAGAAATACACTGAATTCCACCGCATCATTTTGGTACGTATTACCAAAATATGTTCCAATTTCGCCAGCGCCCACTGTGTAACCTCATTCTGCCCTCCTGGTGATACTTCAATATAAACTGTTGAAATAAACAGAATAGACTGCTGCAGACCATTCGATTCCTCCCTCCCTTTTCGTTTTTTAATTCTTTCATTTTACAGCACAAAAAATAATGTAGGTACACTTTTATATTTTACGGGGCGAACAAAAAATTGCAATTTGCCCACCTACTATTTTTTTTATTCTTTTATTTTATGGAGAACACACGGAGAACAACTACTGATAATGTACCTCCTGCACTTTAGATTTTTGGTCTAAAAGAAGATTTCAAACTTTACAAAAAAGAGAAGGCCAAAAAAAATATTTTTGATGTACAAGAGAAAAAAAGGAAGGTTAAAAAAGCAGGCTATAAAAGAAGATTTCAAACTTTACAAAAGAGAAGGAAAAAAAAAATTTATTTTTGATGTAAAGGGGGACTCCAAACTTCAATAGAGAAAAAGAAGGTTTAAAAGGTGGGCTCGTCAGCCTTGAGAGTAGAATCAAAATCCCATGGCCCAGCAGCACCGACTTCTTACAGGGCCCAATATTTCCACGCCGTATGATTTTAGAGACTCCAAACAAAGTGGACTTTTTCAACAGGCTTAACAAAGATTTCCCCAGACACTAACTTGTATACGGCCCCGCCCGACCGGAGGCAAAGGGAGCCCAATTCGCTAAATCGATTGACAAACAGCGCTGCACAGAAACCGATCTCGACCGTCCGCTACCCTCAGGCCGAGATGGGTTAGATCCCATTTCCGCCGTCGGATTATTTCTTCCTTCCCCACATATAAAATAAAACCCTCTGGAAAATAACCCACCCCATAAACCCTAAATCAAACGAAAGCATCATAAAGCCTTGCGCGCTGCATCTGCAGTATACTCGCGTCGGAGATCCCACCCCGGCATGGCTTCTCAAATGAGCAAAAAGAGAAAGGTCAGTCCTCAGTCCATACTGTTTTTTCAAATAATGCCACACTTGTAGGTGTAAACACAACTGTTGGCGAATATTCATTATTTATTATTATTTTTTTTTTTTTGGGGTAACGAATTTCTGGTGGGCAAATTGCAGTTCGTAGCAGATGGAGGTGTTCTATGCGGAGTTGAACGAGGTGTTGACTCGTGAGCTGGCGGAGGATGGATACTCTGGCGTGGAGGTCAGGGTAACTCCCATGAGGACAGAAATCATTATCCGAGCCACTCGCACCCAGAATGTTCTCGGTAACTACTACCAGAGTTTAATTATTATTAACTTTCCCGATGTTTGTTGAATTCAATTTTTGTTTAATTAGGACCTGTAGTTGATGATTTTTAGTTGGTTATGCAGTGTTGTACTGTTTCGTTTAGTGTTGGTGTAGAAATTTAGTGGATAGGGTTTCTGAGAAGGGCTCTTCTGATTCGTTTAGGCGAGAAGGGGAAGAGGATTAGAGAGCTTACGTCGGTGGTGCAGAAGAGATTTAAGTTTCCGGAGAACAGCGTGGAGTTGTATGCCGAGAAGGTTAACAACAGGGCACTCTGTGCCATTGCTCAAGCTGAGTCGCTTCGATACAAGCTGCTTGGTGGCCTTGCCGTCAGGAGGTAATGATGTTGGGTCCGTATGCTAGTTTATTAGTAATGTTTTGTTCATTGCATCCTCTTGTAGTTTTTGCCTGTTTGATTAAATGGTGGGATGTTGGTATGATCTCATAGATGTGAACAGTCTTAGCAGAATTTCGTCTTTGTCTGTATGAAGAATGATGATGACCGTGTCTTTATTTCTTTGTCATATTTTGCCATGTGTTCTTGTTTGTTGCAATTATGTGCCAGTAAGTTGATAATGTTATGATGTTTTGCAACTTGTACCATACTGTTAAGTAATAAAGTTTTCTTTTGCAACTTGGTAGGTTAAAAGGAGTTGCATATCCTTATCATTCTACATTTTAATTGATTTGTCATCGACAAAGCAGATTGGTCTTCTGGTACCAATTTTGTGTCGGATGATGACTATAGAAAATGTTTTCCTCTGTGCTATTATTTTCATGAACCTTATGATTGTTCATGCGATAATGTTTCAGAAGGTACATTTATTTGGGATAAGGAAATCCTAAGTTCTTTCATTATTTGTTTCTAGGGTCTCAGCAGTGGATGTTCTAATCAGCACTATGAACTATTAAACAAAAGTTTTTCTTCTGTTTGTTGACAAATGAAAGGGAACTATGCTCATTAGCGTGCTGTGTTCCATTTGCTCCGTCATCAACAAAGCAGATTGGTATACTTAGTATCAATTTTGTGTCGGATGATGACTAAAAAAAATTGTTGTCCTTAGCATCTCGAGTCCTTGTCAAATTGATGATTGTTCATGGAATATGTTTTAGAGGACACATTTGGTTTACAAAGGGAAATCAGAGGTTACTCTTAGTATTATAAACATACAGGTGGTGGCTGTTTTATCAGTCCAAACAATCAACCATGTGGATTTTGGTAGTTGCTTCTTTGCTACCATTTTTTTTTTTAGTTTCTTTGTCATTGACAAAGCAGTGGTATTCTCGTACCAATAGTGTGTCAGATGATGGCTAGAAAAATGGCCTCCTCTATGAGGTCATCTTCGCAAATGTAACAGGTTTTCATGCTGTTGTTTTGTGAGAGGATGAATTTGTCCCAAAATGTGAAATGACATGTCCTTGCAATACTGTGATCTTCTCAATGCTGGAATGTGAAACATGCATAATATTCTTTTACTAGCAGTACTTCAATTTTCTCAACTAGAAGCTTTTCTGACTTGGGTTCTGTATTTCAGGGCGTGTTATGGTGTTTTGCGATTTGTGATGGAGAACGGAGCCAAGGGATGTGAGGTACGTACTTAATTCATATGAATTTGACCTTGCACTGTAGTTTAGCCCATCCTACTTCATTAGTATAACATACTTGTTTCATCTTACAGGTCATTGTCAGTGGAAAGCTGAGGGCTCAACGTGCTAAGTCTATGAAATTCAAAGATGGTTACATGATCTCTTCTGGACAGCCAGTCAAGGAATATATCGATTCTGCTGTCAGACACGTTCTTTTGAGGCAGGTTGGTTCTCCCCCTCCTCTCCCATCTCCTTTCCTTCTTTGGCGATCTGGTTATGCATTCAGGTTACCTCTGATTGTGGCCCAATCATGATATTGTGCTGCGATATTCTTATCATCTAACTGGTCGTGTGTACATATACAGGGCGTACTTGGTATCAAGGTAAAGATTATGCTATCTTGGGATCCGAAGGGTAAGATGGGGCCAACAACTCCCCTCCCTGATCTTGTCACAATTCATCCCCCCAAGGAGGAGGAAGACTACATCAGGCCGACACTGGTGGCATCTGAGATTGAGGTCCTTGCATAAAGCAACATTTGCTGTCTCCTGTGACGGTTGCTGATGTTATATTTATTCAAATATTTTTAAGGATTCTTTTGGTGAAAATTAATATGCTAGGTGATGTAGAACGCGCCTTGACAAAATTTTTGACTGTAGAGCCTGAGTTTTGTTCAACTGTATCTTCAAAGAGATTTTGTTTTCTACCCTGTTGTCAAATCTAAAAGGCACTTATTTGTCTGTTCTCTTCTGTTTGATTTGAATGTTTAAGCTCCAATGCATTAATCATTTTTCTCTTTTGGGTATTGAGATATTGACTGCTGTTCTCTAGAATTGGAGCTGTGTGAGAATAGATGTATTCAAGTCCCAGATTTAGGAAAAGCATATTTGATTGGCTATAAGCTGGTACGCGGTAAAATGGCTAATTGGCTGTTTTACCCGCGTATTAGGTAAAAAATTGTGGAATTCATTTGCTAGGATTAGGTTTAAATTAGGTGGCAGCAGTATTAAAATCAAACTCTCTGTAGTGGCTATAAATATTTTTAGGTACCTGTACCAAACGGAAAAGAGCAATTCTTAGACTGTCATTTAACGTGTAAAAATATTTGTGGGAAACATAAACGAAATAAATCTGGAAAATGTTGACCGTGATGCTGCTGTTCTCGGCTGCCTGACTTTCATTTCAAATCTGGACATTTATGCGTATAAATTTGGGTGACTTGGGCCACGGTTTTGGCATAGTTTCAATTTTCAAGGGGGGAAAGCATGAGGCTTACGGCCCAATTTGGGGATGAACCAAGTGTTTAGTGATTAGTGACAAAGGCAATCTGTGTCGTACTAATAAAGAAGAGTAAAAATCCCTAATCTGAAGGTTATTTGTCGTTTGTAATTTGATCGCGAGTAATTTACTAATTTATCCTCCAACGACCTCAGCAGCCGCGGTTTCTCCAAGACTTGGAAGTCAGTTGCGGTTGCTGACCCCCCGCCATTTTTTTCCCCTCCTAAACTTCAATCTCTTTCCCGAAAATACCCCTAAGCTCTCCACCATTTTCCTATTTAAAATCCTTTCTTCAACCGCACGAGTTTCCTCTTCGGCAGGCAGAATTCTAATTCAATTTCTCATTTTCCTAGGGTTTCCCCACCCATTTTCGTCTATTGAAAAGAATTCAAAAATGCCGGTGAACCTGACGCAGAATGCCGTCTCGGCTATAACCGCCGGCGACGTGAACTCGAAGCCGCTTGTACAGGTTCTGGATATTAAGCTCATTGGCTCCACTCAGGAACGGTACCGCCTTTTGATCTCCGATTCGGTTCTGACTCAGCACGCGATGCTCGCCACTCAGCTCAACGACTTGGTCAAGTCAGGCCGCATCCGCAAGGGTACCGTCGTTCAGTTGATTGACTATATCTGCAGCACCGTCCAGAATCGCAAGTATGTTAATACTCTCAGCTTTAAGCATTTGACGAATGATATGTGTCTTACATTAGGTCTGGAGGTAATCAGATAGTTATGTCTTTGAATTTATGATAATCTAGCTTTCAATTCTGTATGATAATTTTTTTTCCATGTATTTTTTTTTTTACCATAAAGATGTCTACGAGCAAATCTTTGCTTTGGCATCTCGCTAATTATTTCATTTTAATAATTTCATTTTAATAGCTCGTGCCAGTTGCATTGATTAAGTTATGTGTTTTAGCTGTCGTTTGCTTTATTCAGTTATAATAAAATTAAAAATGGTGAAACATGGGCGTGTAGGACAATGTTCAAACCCGCCTTTCATATACTTTCTGAGGAGTTTAGTTATGTTTTCCTATGATTTGAAAGCAAAAGATATGATTTCACTTTCACCTTAGACCTGCTTGTTTGGATGTACTCAAAATTTTAAGGACTGAGAGACAGCGGGTGGAGGAAAACTGGCTTGGATTGGAGAAAAACAGCCAATGCTGCTATTTATGAACGTGTAATTGAATTTGAACCTACCAGGGTAAAAGATAGTTACATCTCTTACTTTTCAATTAGCACCAGGAAGAGATAAATCTATTAAAATGAGAAATCAGATGGTACTACTTCAGCAAACTAAGATGAGCATTACTTCTGCCAAACTGCTGGATTAAGTATATGCTTTGTACTTTGTTAAGTTAGGCGTCCACATTGCTTGGTTTGTCAAGAAGATTACTCTGTTGGATAGCTTGTTTAGGAAAAAGTGTTTCATGAATTTATGTTCAGGCTTCAGAGAGTACTACTATGCCAAAAAGCAGCTTCTATGATCTTTTTCTGATTGAAAGTTGATTTTATCTCTTGTTTAATTTTGACTTGAAAATTTTTTTAATCGTTCTTGCAGGATAATAGTTATCCTAAATATGGAAACTATAATTCCGGATTGTGACATAATTGGGAACCCAAAAATGATTGGCGACTTGGATACAGGGGTTCAAAGATCAGTGCCTGATAGGAATAACGGGTCTGCTACATTGACTAACAATAACAATTTGGGTACTCAAAACTCTGGGCGTTCAAACTTCTCAAACAGCAATAATTTGATCTCTCGTAATTCAGGGAGCAATAATGTACAGAGTTTCAGGCCAACAGTTCAACCCGCATACCTACCTCCTCCAATTTACAAAAACCATGGTGCTATCGTAAAAAATGAAGCCCCAGCACGCATTGTTCCAATTGCAGCATTGAATCCTTATCAGGGTCGTTGGGCTGTTAAGGCAAGAGTGACTGCAAAAGGAGATCTTCGTCGCTACAACAATGCCAGGGGAGACGGAAAGGTCTTTTCTTTTGATCTTCTTGATTCTGATGGAGGGGAAATACGAGTTACCTGTTTCAATGCCGTTGTTGACCGATTTTATGATATTATTGAAGTTGGGAAAGTTTACATGATATCAAAAGGTAGCTTAAAACCAGCTCAAAAGAACTTCAACCATTTGAAGAATGAATGGGAAATATTTTTGGACACGAGTTCAACTGTAGATCTTTGCCCAGATGAAGATGCTTCAATACCACAACAGCAGTTCTCATTCAGGCCTATTAGTGATATTGAAAATGTTGAGAATAATTCCATATTGGATGTTATTGGTATAGTAATTAGTGTTAATCCTTCTGTTCCTATCTTGAGAAAGAATGGAATGGAAACACAGAGGAGAATCCTGAATTTAAAGGATAGGTCTGGAAGGAGTGTTGAGTTAACTCTCTGGGGAGACTTCTGCAACCGGGAAGGCCAAAAGCTACGGGAAATGGTAGAAGCTGGGCATTTCCCTGTTTTAGCTGTCAAAGCTGGAAAAGTTAATGACTTCACTGGGAAATCAGTGGGGACTATTTCTTCCACTCAGCTGTTCATAGACCCTGATTTTTCAGAGGCTCACGTCTTAAGGGACTGGTTTGATGGAGGAGGAAAAGATGTTGCTTCCCAGTCCATATCTAGGGAAATTATGCCTGGAGGATTGAAGAATGAAATACGTAAAACTGTGTCTCAGATCAGAGATGAAGGCCTTGGAAGATCAGATAAACCAGATTGGATCACTGTCAAGGCCACAATATCTTTCATAAAGACTGACACTTTTTGCTATACAGCTTGTCCACTAATGATTGGGGAAAGACAGTGCAATAAGAAAGTAGCGAGGTCGGGAAACTCTAGATGGCTATGTGACAGATGCAATCAAGAATTTGAGGAATGTGATTACAGATATCTTCTTCAAACCCAAATTCAGGATCATACGGGGCTGACATGGGTGACTGCTTTCCAGGAATCTGGTGAGGAGATATTGGGTTGTTCAGCAAAGGATTTGTACTTGTTAAAGTATGAAGAAGAAAATGAGTTGAGATTCGCTGAGATGATTAAGAGCTGTCTGTTTACACAATTTATGTTCAGGCTAAAAATCAAAGAGGAATTATATGGTGATGAACAGAGAGTGAAAATTACAGTTGTCAAGGCTGAGAAGGTGAATAGCTCTACAGAATGCAGATATCTACTTGAACAAATTTCTAAATTTTCTTTCCGTTGACTACATAGGAAGACAGAATAACTCAAGGAACAAGGTGTTCCCATTGCCATAGTTCTAGTTCTTTGTATATTGGAGATACAAATTTAATTAGAGATTTCCATTGGTTTCTCGCCATATTCACGCTGAGAAAAAGTGTCTTAGATTGATTACTGACGTTTGAGTTGGGCTCCACGATTACCAACTCATTTATTAGTGTGATTTATCATCTTATAGATATCTTCGTCATCCATTTTTTTTTCCCCATCTAACAGTGACATCGTCTTTTATTTATTTATTCATTCTTTTGTTGAAAACTGACACGGGACTGAGGCATAGCAAATGATGATGAAGATCCAGGATTTCTCCGCTTGTCTTGCTCTCAGTTTTGCTTCTAAGTTGGTCTTCTTTTCTGTGATAGGAGATTCAGTGTTTTGTTTGAGCCAGTAAATTGCCATTTGGTAAGCTCAAGCTGGTTTTCCTTGCTCGACTTTGGACTGGAACTTAAAAAACTTTGACATTCACGTCTTTCCAGCACAATAATAATTGGAGGCATGAATAACTCAAAAGTACAAACATTAGTCATTACTAGCAACATAGATACAAGTTGGGAGAGAAAATTGGAATGTGTGTATTATTCCGAACAGTTTTTCAGCTCCGCTTGACAGGATCAAAGTTGGCAACAGCTATTACAGCACCAAAGAGCAAAGCAAGGACCACTCCTCCAGCAACAATGCTCAGCAAGAAGCTCTTGAGGGACGGTGAAAGACCAGAATCAGCAGCCTCAGCCACATCCGGAATCATCATCGAAGCAGTCAATGCAGCTGCTGTCAATCCAGTCACCGCCTTTTCCTTGAGTGAAGAAGCGTTGACCTGAAACTTGGCAATGGGCTTTGCTGCTGCAGCAGCATTGGAGGGCCTCACTGGCAATGGCTTGAAGAAACTGTCTGCAGCTGGTAGCCTCTTTCGGCTTGCGTAGGTCAAAGGCATGCCGCCCATAGAGACTGCTGATGTAGAGGCCATCATTGCTTCTCTCAACCTCTGAAGCCCAACAGTTTCTTTCTCTGAATTTTGAGAGTTGGATGTTGTTGATATTGCTGTCTTTACATAAAAATGATGGAGCAAAGAGTGTTGACGAGAGGTGGAAAATGGAGATGCGATTGTCTCTCTTATTCTTTGTCCTACGTGGCAGCTCCTCCAATGGGCTATCTTGGATAGGGTTATCTAATACACAAGCCCGCCAATCAAATAATAGAGAAAAAGAAAAGGGCTTATGGAACAAAAAAGAGTTTTTTAGTGAATTTGGAGCCCAAATTTTATCTCTGAGCATTAGAAATTCTGTTTGGATTAGTATTTACCTTTATAGGGTCTACTTCAAAACAAACTCACAGTTTCAGTCTCGGTTCAAAAAAAAAAAAAGAAGAAATGGACTACACCCAAGATTTTTATGCATTGTGGAGAAGCATCAGACGACATTCTTTTATACATTCAAGCCGGTTATGTAAATCCAATGTTGAGAACTTCTAACTTTATATTACTAGTATTAAAAAGGAACCATGAGCTTCAAAACTCAAGCAAACACACTCTGCCCGGTGTCCGTTTTACTGCTTGCATTCACTCAGACTCGGGTCTACATTGGTTTATTGCCCAAAGGCCATGGCTACCTGCCTACCAGCATTTTTAATTATTACTAGTCTATTACAATTGGATAAGTGCTTTAGTAGCAGTTTTGATGACTGGAATATGCATACATTCTAGTCATACATAGTACTCTACTACAAGATAGGCGTCGGCTGTCTTCATCTCTGAGAACTCATCTCGTCTGCATGACAGATGCAGAAGTTGCCACTGCAGATCCAATGTAACTGATATGCAGTTCTTGAGGGAGAAGATGATATTTGATACCAACATCTTCAAAAATCTTCTTGAGTGCTAGCATAAGCTCAGTCCGACGATTCATCTTCTGCAGGAAATCTTGAAAGTTCATTTTGTGATTGACAAAAAGAGCCATTTTCATCTTGTTCATTTGCTCAATCTCTTTAATCTGCACGCTATGATCTGGGTGCCAATGATGAGGATTACCATCTATGTACCTGAAATTGCTCATTAAGTTACCGACTGAAAAAAAGAAATTTAGCAAATATTGATAGCTGCTACTTTGTCAAGATGAGGAAGTGGAGCTAGCTTACTCTTTTATTTTTGCTTTGAGAGCTTCAATACTTTCAAATGAAGTAGAAACATCAACGTCAAAATTCACAGTATCACCCATCTTATCGGGGCTTCGATTAAAATTGCCGATGGATTTAGTAGCCAAAACAGCATTAGGATAGTAAATCATTTCGTTGTCATATCTATAAAATGCAGTTTTCAAGATATCCATCTCCTCGACAATCATCTGTGAGCATAGATTGAGTTAGCATCATCATCATGTGCATGATCAAAGAGCATAGATTTGAGTTATCAGTTAGCCTGATGATCTTTGTGAATTACCTGAACGCCATCAATGACACAACGATCGCCGACATCGAAGGGGTGCATGACAAATACAAAAATCATGGCCTCAAATACAGTCCGGCAGGTGTTGCCAAATATAAACACAACGAGTAAGATTTGGGATGACAAGAACACGAGTACTTTGGTTGTTGCGAATCCCATCAGAAGTAACCACACAACAACAATCAAGACAAGAACGACTCCAGACAGAATTCTGTTCAGCTCTTCAATAGCTGTTTTGGCGTCTTTCAATGAATGTGACAAATATTCCCTTTGCTTGTAGACGTTTACCTGGACCATACAGCAGGTTAGTCTACTGAATACAGTGCAATGCAAACCAAACTCAAAATTTTGAGATTCATCCTCTATATTAGAATGTTATTTACCAATTTAGGTTTCGTTTTATTTTATTCAAGAGGAGATGCCTCACTGAACCAATTGTTGAGGTTCACGGAGAAGTTGAACCGTGTAGGTAGACTAAGCCAAAGACAGACAGAAAAAACATAATGATCAGGTGAAAAAAGAAGAAGAAGAAGCAGCCGAATGGAAGCTGCTACGGCTTACCGCCCAATCAGTTAAAGACTCCTTAGATATCTTCCCTTGTTCCGCCACTTTCTCAAACCAAGCGAGCAGACAGGTTCCATTCTCCTCATTCATAAAATGAAAAAGATCACGCTCTTTGATGTACCTTCAGGAATTGCGAAATGATACACGTTAAACCTCCTGAAAGACAAAACAAAGGAATCAAATTGACAAGGGTAAACGAATTTATGCACGAATATATGTCTTACTCGCGGCCATGCCTTCTAACATTGTTGAATATTAGGGAAGCAGCTTGTTCTGCCTCATATCTGCTGGTAATATCCTTCTGTTCGCCTAGATCATCGAGGCTCCCATCAAGGGCACTTGAAACAATAGATAACTTTGAGCTCCTTATCCTATCAATCAAGTTTTTCATGGTTGAAGCAGGCATTTTCCCAGCTTTCATCCTTCCTAGCTTCTTTAATGTCATCTCCTCTTTCTTCTGTACATGATTAGTCTTTTCCTGCACCACCTTTTTGTGATCTTCTACCTCAATTTCCTCCTTATTCTCTTTATTTCTCCACCATTTTGGAGGTCTGAAACAACAAAATTTACCACTTGGCCGAGAATTGTCTCCATTTTCTTCTACTTTCGGCATCGGCGGCACGGACAGCATCAAAAGAACACACTCATCAGAGATGGCCTCTCGAATTTTCTCAAAGAATGTCTTCACATGAAAAGAAGCAGCTATGAGCTTTACCAGTAGAGTCTTCACCATCCACATGACTGCCCCAATAAGAGATGAAACAAGAGCCTTAGAGATATAGTTCAGAATCTTGGTAGTCTCCTTTGACCGATTTACACCTCTATCAATCAACAGAACCCATGCCAAGAGAACTAAACCCAACCAAATCACAACCCGCACGCTCTGCTTCACACCATGTAGGAAATACACGACTCTCTCATTGAACAAGAATTTGGTTTCGATCACGAAAACAATGGCATCCTTAGCCCACTTGGTTACCAAACGACCGCAGAATATCACGGCAACCAGCAAACACCATTTCCAAAGTTCTAAACCCCATAGTATACTAGTCTTCAGATTGGGAGCATATAAGCCAGCAACCATCATAGCCATTGCACATATAAACAGTATCCATTCAACAATAACATCCATGGCTTTCAGATTCTTACCTATTTTCTTAAACCTTTGAGTACGTGCATTTTTCTGAGCGCCCTTATGCTGCTCCTTCTCCACTTCATCATCACTCTCGTCATCATCCTCGTCACCATTGGCTTCCGCTGGTGGTGGCAGGTTACCAGCTCTCATAGAATTAATCTTCTCGGAAAGGAAGCGTCTGGCAGTCGAGCTAGTAGCCCTCAATTCGCTGCCTTGGCCAAACAAAGTCGAGCTAGTAGGATTTGATTCTTCCACTTCCAGCACTCTTGATTTGGTCTGTGAAAATTTGGACCTTTTCATTGATAGGTTTCCGAGCTGGAGTTCACTTAGTGTTGAATCAGACTCACTGATCCTTGAAGAAAGCCTGCGCCTCAGATTCTGAGGATTTGTTGAATTCCCATCTGATGCCTTGTCCTGAACAGAAGCATTTGAGAGGGAATGTGCTCCAGATTCAGGTGTTGCTGAATGTCTAGGGTAGCCACCTTGCAGGCTGGTCTCAGATGCTTGTGCACTGCTTACGATTGCAATTGCAATATCACCTCCATGTGGCTTCAAGTCATTGCCTCTTTCACCTTCCATTAGCCTCTTATGCGCATCAAAATGAAAAAGAAAAGGGAATCTACTTGTCTTTCTTTATTTAGTTTCTTTCTCACTTCTAGAACTCTAAAAACCAGCAGCTCACTGATCACCTTTTCTTGAAAGCCAAGAACAAGTTGCATGTGAAATTTGTTCCCTTGCCATAGCCTAGTAAAAGACAGCAGATATATAAAGGAGCAAAATAAAGCTGTTCTGCAACCAGAATGGAATTTGACAATGAGTGCATCGCCAGATGAGATATATAAAATGCCCCAACAACTTTCTGTCGGATGTTCTCAACTATTCTCCCTGATCGCATTCAGACATGTGCACAATTCACCCCTCAAAAAAAAAAAACACACCCCCACAATGGGTGTCTGGAAATTAGGAATGATCGTTGCCTTTTTTGAGCAGTTGTTTATCCTTAACTAACTACTGTATCGATTGATTAGTAGCAGACTACCTCGAGTGAGTAACTGGG